CACAATTAATTTCTTAAGGAGAAATAAGTGACATTTTTCCTCCTGCTGTGCTCTTAAAGCCTAGAATTGCAAAGGAAGCTACATGCAAAAGTTAAGATTAATTTATATTGTGCTAGTGCTAGCTCTGAGCTGCTCTGTCATCTGCTATGTGTAATAATGACTCTTCATCCGTAATGAATGTAGCAGCATATAGCGCAGCTTCCCGTTCGTTCACTGAGTGATGATGCAGTGAAACTTCAGACGCATCCCTCACCTGACTGCAATTCGAGGTAAAGTCCTGCAGTGCTTCATGAGGCTCCATTAGCCCCGCTCACTTCAATTAAATCTAACAAGCCACTTTCCCTTTGTCCTGGAACACAAAATCTACCTACTGTCAGTGTTGCTGTGGTGATGAGCAGAATCTAATTTGCTGTTTCTGTTTCCCCCCCAGAGTAGATGCTGAGCTGCCAACATTTAAAAAGCCTCTATTTGCAGCCATTATTAGTTTGTATACAGCTAAAGGGAAGAAATCCAGCAGCAAGTAGCAACAGACAGGAGAAAAGCTTGGAGCCGTGTATTGGTTTTTCAGGTTAAAATGGTTTCTCTACCTCACATTCATTTTCTCCGTCATCGCTCGCTCTTCTAATTTGGTTAATTTTGTGGTTTTAATAACCTCCTAAAAAGTTTCCAGTCTCTTAATCTCTTTTCCCTCTTGCTCTTGTCTCAGTCATGCATGGAGAGCGCTGTGGTAAGTCTCTCGCTCTTGTGTGTTAATGCTAAAACACATTAGCACTCCTAATGGGAGAATAGACACACTCACACACTCACTGCTAAAAGCTGCAGGAAGCCCTTGAGAGCTAGTGCTGACGCTTCTGTTCAAATCAGCTGCACACTAAAACACCTTTAACCTAAGCAAACAGTAACCTGCAGTTAAACATTTATCAACACAATGCTCTTAGGAGATAACAGCATTTCTAGCAAATTAATTCTTAATGCACAGTCGAGCTAAACTGTTGTGATGAAATCAAACACAATTAAATACATTTTTTTAAATCAATAAAACATGTTAAAATGCAACAAAACTCATTTTTCATCAAAAAGTTTTAAAATATTAAAAAATACTAACCGATAAAGACATTATTAGTCCATTTAAGGTTTATTTTATCAGTGAAAGACAGAGAAAAAAAGACTATAAACATATCTGTGAAAAGCATTTCACCCATAAACATTCTGTGACAGAAACAAAAAAACTAAAATATCCAATGTGGTCACGACCACCAAAAAGCTTGGTGACAACACTTGAGGCACAAAAGGAACCTAAATTAACTGTCAATGTCCCTCTGATGAGGCTACATGCCATTTTAATGGTCAACCCAGAATTAGACAACAGCTGGGACCATAATCACCAAAAGCACAATAGGTAACACACCACACTTGAAATACAATATTGCTGAGGTACAAGTACATGTCTTAAGCTTGTTGTGAGAGCGTTGCAGTTATATGGGAATTTCTTTTGAAAAGAGTAATGCTGCCAGTTAATTAGTCGCACAATCAAATATTGTGGTGGAAACATTATGCTTTGGGTTCCTGCTTTTCTGCAAAGGGGCCACTGCTCTGCATCACAGGAATGTTGGACAGTGGCATTTACTGTTGAATCTTGTGTAAGAACTTCCTGGACCATCGTCCCTGGTGTTAAAAATTGTCTCACAGCAGGACAATGTCCCAAAACATAGAAGTGAATTGAAAATTCAAGAAAACAAATGAGTGAAAAAAAAGAGCAGACCGTGACATGATTAAAGTTTACTAATCTTTAAGTCACTTTCATGTGGCAAAAGTAAATTATCCACAATAAAAATATTGGTAACCTTTTTTAAAATTAATTCATTCTCGAACCCACTTATTCCCATTTTTGGTGTCACAGGGGTCTGCCGGTGATCTCCAGTGCACATTGGGCGATAGGCGGGGTACTCCCTGGACAGGTCGCCAGTCCATCGCAGTGCAACATTCACACCTAAGGGGAATTTTGATTTTTTTTGCATGAGTTCTGGAGAAAAATATGGAAGTTACTGTATTTTGAGATTCTTATTGTCATTTTTATACAAAAAAAAATTCACAAGAAACACATTTTAAATCTATTAAATTGAGAAATAGAAATGTTTAACCACCATTGTTTCTCATGTCCAGAATGAATAAGATACAAAGTATACAGTGTACACACACAAGCAAGTTTGGTGATTATGCATATGAGGTGCACTGTCCACCCTCACATCCTGTATAAAGAAGTAGTTATCAAAGGGGTGGGTGTGTTGTAGTGGTTGATAATGAGCAAGAGAACGCAGCTTAGCCTGACTTTCAATTGCCGAGTTCCTCCTGAAACTTGTTTTTTCCAACTTCACTCAAGTCTTTCAGTTGAACAGTGGCTAATGTTTAAAGAATGCCTTTATAAATGTGCTTCAGATTTATTATTTATACACATCAGGTTCAATTGCATGTCTTAACAGAAGTTAAAAGCTTTAATGAAAAGATTACAAAATAGGAATGGATTTAAAAAGTGTGTGCAAGGGGATGAAAAAAAGCGAGGGAGGAAATTTGTGGCCTGAACTAAATGGCCAAACACATTAAAGCCTTCTGTATTTTCACTAGGTGAACGAACACACACTGAAAGCATTTCCAATCCCTTCAGTCCTAGGAACATGTGCCTTTTTATCACTGCTCTCCCAGGACAGCACTTACACAGTCAAAGCTTCAACAAGGCCAGTGCCTGCCTGACTCTGCCCATCTCTTTACTAATATCTTGGTGCATTGGCTTTAAATACTGTATGGTAGAAACAATCCACACTTTATAAAGGAAGGCAAACTTGCAAAAAATTTTTTAATATGTTGATGTTAGCAAGTGACCATCGCACAAATGGAATAAACATCAGTCAGCCATGCTTTTACAGTCAAAAAGCACAACAACCTTTGATTATTACAGGTTGCTGGTGGCTTTGGTGTCTAAAAAAGTTGAAAAATCTTATTTTTTCTGATTAAAAAAAACACACTATTAACTACCAGAAACTTCTAAGTCACCAAGAATCTTTACCCCACTTGGCTTCTGTGAATATACAGTCAGTCACCATGCTTTGGAACACTGAACATCACCCTCCGATAAAAGTGCTTCCAAAAACAACCAGCATCCAAATGAGCTCTACCCTTGCATCAACACATGAGTGCAGCAGGGATGCCAGTATCTTTGCAGGGTGCCAGAAAATTCAGAAGGTCTTGGTAGAGTTTAGTGTGACATCCATTTATGTTTATATTCTCCATCTGCAGTTAGAGCTCAGCAGGGAGACTAGATCGCAGCACAAACACGCGGCTCTGAAGCTTTCTACAACACTGATAATTACAGTGCCAGTAATATTTCAATAAATCCCAATGAATGCAACTGCAGTCGCAGGCTACAATCTGCAAATCATTCGCAGTGACACAAATAAAGAATGCAAGTAGATAATACTGAAGCGTCTTTTCTCAAAAACAGGCGCAAATGGCTCTCTCAAGAAGTTCCTCCGTTTATCTCAAAGAGGGCTCCTGTAATGATCTATGTCACATCAGGGTTCAAAAGATCGGATGCTAGTGGATTAGCGTTTTTTCGCTGCGATCTGTTTTGAAGTGTAAGCCATATCTTTGCATTGCTTTGCCAGCCTTCCTCGTCACGTTGAAGAGAATTAGCATCGGAGAGCTTGCCATTCAGAGAGTGGCAAGTCTAGGAGAGATCATGTGAATCTCTTAGGTAACAGATAGACTTGGGCTCATTTAAATGGGACCCAGCAGAGGCACTGCTCATTTAACTTCAGTGGCCTGACATGAATTGACTGCTGCTTCAAAAATAAGTCTCATTTAAACACATGTCAGAAAGAAACTAAATACTGCTGCAATGTTTTGAGTCTTAGTTAAGCTTTTGCCCAAAACAGTCCTGCTGGCAAGCTGCTTCCATGATTTATAGAAAATACACCGCACAGAAAACGTATCATCATGATGGATACTGAATCAAATTAAAGAACGTTAATGTAGTGTCTATATATTTAAAAATATTTTATAAACATTATATTTTATAACTCAATTTTAACTAAAAATCTATCTTTTTATAAATTGTTCAGGATTCGAGAAGTGTATTTGAATTTTAATATGCAAATATTTTTTTAATAAACCAATGTATTTCACTATATTAGACTCAAATTTCTCTTTATGAAAGCAAGTGATGAGATCTTTTATCTATTTTATACTCAACATCAGAAGATAATTTCTAGACGTATATATAAATAACTATATAAGAATAAATAACTATATACAGATGTATTTACATGCTACTATGCAGCTGTACAGAATAAGTATGTCCCTTAAAGGGAACAGAACTCTTTCGAAGATAACAGTGGGAAGCAGGCAGGCAGCAACAGAACTCAAGAAGTCTTCAGAGGAGTGGAGGTGAGTAGCAGGAGGGACATCACAGGAGTAGATGGAAGAAAGATGGCAGAAATCATCGGGAGGAAGCATAGCGAGGCGAACAGGGGACCCAAGAAGGCAGGAAGCAATCGTGGAGAGTCAAAGGCATGAACCGTAGAACTGACAGTGAGGAAAGGAGAAGTGAGAGGATATACAGGGGGAAATGAGAACCGAACACTGATAGGGTGAGGAGAAAATAGATTTGGTGGATGATTAAGTGAGTGATTACGTGCAATGGAGAAAACTGAGAAACCATAAACACAAAGAAACACTCTGTTAACCAACATTGAGCAATATGTGGGTTGTAATTAAAAGTCACCTTAATAAAGACCTGAAGCTCTTTTGAAAAGTTTCTTCAGATTGAGTTTCTGAGCATTACAAATATACCACCAACAGCACAACTCATCAACTTTAGCTTAACCACAGAACAGTTCTTCGCACAAGACAGAAATTTCAACATCATTCTTGTAAATGGTTCAAATTCAAATTTTTAACCAAAGCGACCTACATTTCAAGGAATGAACACATTTTATCATATCTTGCATTCTCTGGGGTTTGAACCCTCAACCTTTGCATTGTTAGAGCAATGCTTTACTAACTTGGCCACAGCATAATAACATCCTGGCCATTTCAGAACACATACAACACAACTCATAAGTATCATAAAACAAGCTTATAAACCCTTTATAAAATATTCAAAACTGCAGTGATGACATCACAGTGACTCCACCATCGTGGTTCCACTGATCACAACATGCTATTTAATAAATATAAAAAAACGATTCAAATAATATTTTAAATAGAAAACAGCATTTCATATGAATTATTTGTGTTAAAATAAACAGCAAACTCTGCTTTTCGAAACACTCTTCCCATCAAAGGGCATGCTCTAAATGTTTTGAGTTCTGTGAAAATTGACGGAAAATTTGCAGAGTTGAACTCAAACATTAATAAAGTTTTATTAATAGCAGCCTCAAAACTCTAGCAGCAAAGGGAACATCAAATCTGAATTAAATGATACAGATAGAGAACCTATTAAACTTACAAAAGGAGAAAATATAGGAGTCTTATGACCTTTAAAGAAAAAAAGGTCTTCTGAAGTCACTACAGAATGTGCACGTGTGGGAGAGAGATAGGGGTCCATTCACATACCTATAGTATAGTGTTTATACTGGTTCTGTGAAGGCTTCTATCAACAAACCTGGTTGTCGGCATAACAGCTTTTCTCCACCTGTCAGTATATACACTAATACTGAAGCTGAGATCCCTGTCGGCATTGCTCTTGGCGTGATTGACAAGGGGCTGGTGGTGTACAGAGATTGGCTGAGGCAGTACTAGCCAGCAGCAGAGTGATTTTATGAGAACACTCCATACTGCACACCAGATTGTTTTAATATGCGACACTAGTTTCCATTTGGAGATGAGTGTGTCTGTACTTCTGCATAATATAAAGAGGATGTGTTTGCAGAAATGAAAGCATTAAAATGTTTCAAAGTCTGTATATTTTGAAAATCATTATGAAACAAGACATTCACCTTACAATTTTTTTGCATCAAACACCAGTTTTTTTTTTTCTCTCACCGTCTTTTCTTTTGTTCTCGAAGTGAGACAAATGCCAGCTCTCATTTCTGTTAAAATGCAATAAATCCATTGGAACAATGTGATGTGCACGATTCGATCACATGACTATCATGGCGGCACCCAGGTCTTTATATACTTTTTTTCTTGCTACATTAAAAATGGACAATTTCGCGGAGCCTGTACTCATTTCCTCTCTGAAGAGGAAGTGAAGGCTATAGAAAGACAGCCAAGTAAATCATTATTTTGAAATTAAAATAAACTATTTTCATGAAAACACCTGTGTATTGAGCAGACAGAAGGGTGAGTTGTGCTGCTAGTGTGGTTCTGTACATTCACCCTTTACATTTCCCATGTTTAATTAGACATTTTCTTTCTGTTTGTTTTCCATTAACTACCCATTGACTTTTGAGGCGAAATCAATCTCAGTCGGCTCAGAACCAGCCGGTTTTGCTTCCACATTATGTTAGCTGAGCAGAACAGGAAGAGAGTGGCATTATCATGTCTGGAGCACATCAGTAATTTTTTTCTCACTTCAATCACTGCAATACACTCACTCATTATAAGTGTAACACCTGTTAAAGATCCATCTAGTGGATTAAAGTGGCTTATTGAAAAACTGTGCGCTTTATTAGTGTCCCTGCATCTACTGAAGAAAATTGTTCCAAGTATAGACAGGGGCTTTAATCCAAAGTGACTTACAATTCAAATAGTTTTGCCTTCCCTTGCTTTATCATGCTCTACTGATAGTCATAGGAAAGCTATACTTTATGATGCAATAAGAATTCAGTACCATTTTTGCTCTAATTAGGGGCAAACAATTGAAACTGTGCAGGCACTGTGGCTCAGTTGGTAGAGCATTGCAAAATAAAAAAAAATATTATTCAAGTGAAAGTCGCTTTGGATAAAAGCATCTGCCACATGGATAAATGCTAAATGTCAAGGCACCTATTGTTTTTGTTCCATTTTTTTTTGCCACCATTGAAGTCAATGGAATCACCATGAACCAGTTGCGGGAAAGCTATGAAACTGATAGAGGTGGCTCTTGTGAGTAATATGACCCATTTTGGACCTTTTAACTCATGATTTAAATTCATGGCTAATAACCTTTAAACTGTAAGGTCTAGAAAAAAAATCTGATTTCCTTTTAATCCTTGGCATTTCAGGCCTATAATTTTCTCCATGCACATCCTCCACCTATGTTGACCAAAAGTTATGGAATTCAAGTTGATGTAACAAAGCATTTAGGAATGTCATATAAACAATTCTGATGCAATGCTAGCCAAAAAGGTCATAGGGCTATATATCAGCAGTGTTTTAATGCATCAACACCAAACTTGGTGGATGTTATAATTATCACAATGTGAGGCTACTTACCGAGTTTCAGAACAGTGCCCTAAAGTGATCAGGAGATATAAAAAAAAATGGCCCAATCTGTTTTGAATGGTGGCTCAACAAGTTTTGTGGCAGCACCACCTTGGTGTTAAAAGATATACGAACCTATGCTACCTTTAACACGTTCAAAAATCTGTTCTCAGCTTTTTTTCCTGGATTATGGCAAGAATGTAAATAGCAACTTTACCATAATAGGCTCAATTTGCTGTTCACCATATTGACTCAGACGATGTCCATTTCTCACCAAATTTGAATCAAGATATTCTGATACATTGCAGAACCCCACCAGGGCTTCTCTATCCCTACAACCATTTGACACTTTCATACATACTTAACATTGAGCTCTCAAATAAGACGGAAACTGCTCCAAATTTCTTAGCTAAGCATTAATTTTGTTTGTTTTGCCTATAAACGAATGGAAATGTCTTCATTTGGCTGTCCGACAAGTCAACTGTCTTAAGATTTAACTTCTTATTATAAATGTTTTAAATTGGAAGTAAAGAGGATGTACCCAGTTAAGGAGCTTAATTTTAGCCTTGTACAATTCTATTGTTATTGCAATTAATACTAGAAATCATCATGATCAATTTTAGAGCACATCACCTATCCTTACTCAATATATTGATCAAAGACCGATTTAAAACGTTAAAGATCTTAATTGAAAATAAGATGAGTGCAAGAAAGTGCAAGGCTGGGATGACATCAGGACAGAAGTGATCACTGATACTTTTATAAAAGAAAGGGAAATTGCTGTCACTCTAGTTCAACTCTTGACACGTGGACTCTCTATTATTCATATTATAATTCCCAATATCATTAGCCTCATCTCCTCAACCATTATATGTAGTCACTCCTCAACCATGGTTTGCTTCCCTTCGTTCACTGCCATCCCTCTCCCCTTCTCTGCTGTGTCAGCGCTTTGCTTCCAATCCTGTGAAATTGGCTTTGAATAAGGATTTGGAAACGAAGGATTCTGTCATGAAAAGCACAGCACTGAAAGATGAAGGATGTGCCGTGCTGAAAAGACAAGCAGACATGTGGAGGGACAGATGAAAGGAAGGTCTTAAAAAAACATTTCCTTGTTTCTTTTGATTTATACATCATTTTTGAACTACTAAACATCTCACATGATAAATTAGCTTGTTCATTTTAAATTATATTTCTTGGTAAAAACCATCTCATAAAATAACATTTAACCAGTTTTGTCCTAGAAATGATACTTCCCACTGCATGAATTTTATAGCTCATGATCTAAATACATAATTAAACAAAAATACATCAAAGAAACACCAACTTTCAGCTCATCCTCTATTTTACCTGGGAATCAACTAAGGTTTGTTTTATAAACAATACGCCAAGCAACGCAGTGGGGAACCATCTGGTCTCAAGTACTGTGCACCTGACAAAAGTAGCAGTGCCAACCACTGCTCCATCAAGCTCCCACAAATTGATTCAAATTTTGATTTAATTTATTTGGTCAATTGTTATCTGTTTATACAATACTACTTCAAAACAACCACAAAAAGTCAAAGGATAATGCATTTCGTTGCCAAGGAGATAGCTGTGTCAGCGAAAACATGCTAATGAGGCAATGTCGCTCAAAAATGATAAATCAAATTGTTATTTAAGCTTAAAGAACCCCTTCATTAAACTACCTTTCATGAAGTGTGTAACACAAATTTGACCAAGCTGATATGACAAAGCGTTTAGAAATGGCGTGTGAACTATTATGACAATGTAAAAATGGTCATAAGGCTATATCTCAGTAACACGTTACTGTATCAAGACCAAACTTGGTGCATGTCATAATAATCACAGTGTGAGGCTACCTGCTGAGTTTCAGAACAGTACCACATAATCATCAAAAGATATTGTCTTAATTCTATCAGAAGATCTTTGGTCATTGCGTGTAATGGATTTCCCTCATTTCTAGAACCCAATAACCACTTCGATTTTACTGTGTTTGGAGCAATTTTGGATATCCGAGAATATTTATAGTTTAGATGTTCAGCTGAGCCAGGCGAAGGGTGATTGGATACTATTTGTTGATTGTTAGCAGCAGTGCACTAATCCTAGAATTATCAAAATGCTGTAAATAAATAAATAAATAAAAATCTACTCAAGTACAAAATTTAAATATTTATCATTTGTTATTTTACGCACGTGCGGTTTACTGAATAATTTATCTTTTAATAGCTCATTTGTGATGCCACATTACCATGATAAACTCAAACACAAAAGCTGATACCTGAAAACAGTACATTATTACAATAGTAAATGTATGTGTTCCAAAATCCTTTCTTCGCTTTTCACAACTGTATGCAAGCTTTTCTCATTAAAAAGATCTTTTAACTTGATACTAGCTTTCCTGTTAACAGAAACAGCACTGAACCCATCAGTTTGATTGCTTTGTTTTTGCAATAATTATAAAGTTCTTCGTGCATGATGTGCATACTGAAGGGTTGGGGTTAATTGTTTTTTCTGCCTTGTTCTTGTAACATCAAACTAAATCTGTTCAGTGCTTGGTTTTGTTGTAGCTGAAAGCAACAAAGAGAACAGTGCTTTATATGTGGAATCTTATCATAACAAGAATGATGCAAAGTTTTGCAAACAAGATTTTGTGACACGTGCACAGCTGT